AGCCTAACGAGGTCCTGAGATTCCTCTGCAGAGCAGGTCTGTAAGCAGTAGCCATAATGAATTGGATGTTGGAAGGCTCACTGCCTGGTCCTGACAACTCGATGGGACCGATTGAAGACTGTAATGGAGCGAACCAAGCCAGAATGCGGCACCCTCTCCCACCCACATGATTCACCCCCCCCTTATACACGGACATTGACGATCCACTTGACGTGACCTGGCAGCTGCACAGTGCGGGCGGTTGAGGAGGAGTTCCTAATCCAATTTATATTTCACCATACTTTTGCACACACTGGTTGCCACACATATTTCAGACTAGCTGGCATGTGGGCTGGGTGCTTCTGGAGTCTGGAACACACGTTCCTATACTTGACATATAGGACTGACTCTCACTGTATATACAATCAGGATTAACTGTGGCAATTGGAGTCTTCTAATACTCGACATCACTGTTCGGGCTCAGCATTACCAATGCAGCACTAGGACTCCTGTTTCTTCTCTATACTTTTTGTTCTCCTCCTCAACTCCCGTACCCCCTCCCCCTCTTTTATTTAATTTTTTTTCTCCCTCGATCCTAGACAGAACCCAAGATGGGTTTGGGTTTCAGACTTGCACCTCTGAGGGTTTGGACAAATAATGTCTGGGCTTAAACACACCAGAGAAGTGCTCTCAGCTGCTCCAGTCCCTATGGTTGGTACGAGCCTCGCTCACATTTCTCCAGGAAACACAATTCAGAGGTGCTAACGCCCCTACACTTAAAAACCATTCATATCTCTTGGGCTTTTTTCTGCGAATCACGTGGATACTAGGCGAGCAGGAGTTGCTATCCTATTTGCCCATTCAGTTCAGTTTGTCTGCAAAGCTGATCCTCAAGGCAGACACCTATATCCTAGCAGACCACATGTACACGTTTGCATGTATCTATAGCCCAGATCGGAACAAACACGTGGTCCTGGCAAAAACACTATCAGAATTCACAGGGTCTCCTTTTGGGTGCCAGTGATATCAATCTCTAGACAGGACTACTCTAGGGGAGTTTGCTCTAACCTCCAATGTTGTATCCGCTCGGCTAGGCTTTCTCAGAGATGTCTGGGGCTGGTAGATTGCTGGAGAGTGGTGCACCCCCAGATTATGGACTTCAAGTTTTACTCGGCACTGCACAAACCAAACATTATAGAGGACCTCTTTGTAGCCCAAGAATTCCTACCCCTTCTCATTCATTCTGACATAGGGATCATGGATGGCTCATACCACTCACCAGTCTCAATTACACTGCACTCTCCCTTATACAAACCGAAGAAGCATCAGTGGAAATTAAACGAAAATCTACTAACTGGAATAGAGGACATTGAACCAGCGAGACAAGAATTTACTCACTATTTTGAGACTGACTCTCTTAACACTCCCCGCTGACTGTTTGAGAAGCGAACAAATGCGTTATCAGGGGGCTAAGTATGCACTCACCGCAAAAAGACTAAAGCTAGACTTTTTTCCTTTTTGATCCTCCAAATAACCAAACTCAAAAATACACATGAACAAACACCAGTGGACAACACGTATCTCCAACTGACAGACACATGCAGAGAACTGAGAGACTATCACAGAGTATGTTACTCACCCTGAGGAAGTCCTCTAGATTATTTTTTGAACATTCCAGCAATTACGAGACAGTCGGAGATTGCAACATGTTCACAAAATTAGGCCCCATGGAAAGGGAGAAACTAGACTACCCAAAAGGTATTATACAAGCATTCCAATCGTATTACTCCAAACTGTATAACCTAGCTCAATCCCATCAGGGAAAGGCCTTCCAACAGCTACATCACCTGATCAATGACTTTTTAGACCATAATGTTAGACCAGAATTAGTCTAGCCGTTGGTCATTGAAGACCTGGCTGTGGTGTTAAAGCAACACGTTTTGAAAAATTTGACTACCTAAGCACTTGAAGGGGATTAACTCCATTCAATCCAAAGGGCAATTAACGACAGTCACTTGCTGCAGTAATGACTGTTATACCCAAAGACAGCAAGGACCCGTCCAATTCGCCAGTTATAGACCTATCGCACTCCTGAATGCGGACTTAAAATTACTCGCATGGCCCTGCAGCTCTCGAAATTCCTCCCTGGTCTATTTCACTCTGACCAGGTGGGATTAATCCCAGGCAGAGAGGCATGCTAGAACACCATCAGAGCCCTTATCATCCATGCTGCCCGGTAAACCAAAAGGAAATGGTATTTCATTCCACCGATGCTGAAAGAGCGTTTGACTGGGTTGAGTGGCTACAACTTATAAGTTTTGGACTGCACATGTGTTTGTGGGTGCATTCACTCTATACGATCCCTATGGCACGTATCCAAGTCAATGGAAGACTAACATCCCCATTTCCCATTAGAAACGGCACACACCACACACGCTTGTCCTCTAACCTATATCCTGTTTGCCATTTCTCTAGAACCGTTTCAGGAGGCGGTCAGACGGGACAGGGAGTATTACGGGGTGTGAAGGTAATCTACAATATCTAGGCATATGGCTAATGCATGATCTCGCTCCATTATTTCAGCTCAACTTCCCCCCGTTACTCTACACACTGCAAATAGACATGCAACGTTGACCGCCTCAATATATCTCTTGGTTTGGCCGCATCAGCGCAGTCAAGATGAACATCCTACCATGCCTACTGTACTGGTTTCAGACTATACCGATTACAATCCCAAGAACATCCTTTAGTTTTATTGCAACTGCAATAAGACGGCTCTCACATGCAACCAATGCTCCACCCGACTTCGAAGAATCCTCTTGGAGTTAAATTAACAAGATGGGGGCACTGGACTCCCATCCATAGGGACATACTACTACAACACTCACCAACACAGATTCCTAGACTGGCATGTTCACCCAGCTAAGAAGCAGTGGGTGGACATGGAGATCCAACAGGTTGAAGGCAAAATCCCATCCACCCAACGTTGGGCGTTTTACATACCAATAATCCCTTGATAAATGCTACTATTGGAATATGGTGCACTCTTCGCTATCATCGACAACTGACGAAATCCCCCAACCCAGGACACAAACAACCCAGACTTGGCTGGTGGTCTGAGTTCTAAATACCTGGCTGGTTTCCACTGATTGGGTATCCATGCACCAGTGGTGCAAAACCACCCAACTTAAGACCATAGCAGCACTTCACCCTGATAGACAACTGGCCACACTAGACCAGTTCCACTACCACTAAATTAAACCGTACTACATGTCCATACAGGGTGAGGGCAGATACACAGATCCCAGACCCACTTTGAATGATTATGCACCACACCGGCACATAGATCATGGGGTATCTCAGCCTTATACTCTATGCTGCAGTCGAGCAGAGGAGACATGTCTCTCGTGTTTGAGTAAATCTGAAAAGGAAACAAAAAAGTTACACTCACGGATCAAGAATGGGACAAATTATTCCCCCAAACACAAATGTTCAATAAGCTCAAAGTTTCAAGAGTTAAGCTACAAAGTACTTACATTTTGGTACAGGATGCCACACGTCTTGCACTATATGCACACTTGGACACCCTGGTTATTCTACATTACTGGAGCTAATGCAGGAACATGAAGGAACCAGAGCTTAATCACTGCGGAGTCATGACTTTAAAGAGGCTAATCAAACAGATAAAACTTATTTTGAAGGGTGTCTACAAATGCATGTTCATGCACCAATGGTAAATTTAGAACGCTCTCCGGCTACCAATGGCTGTGGAATGACGACACTAGGTACACCATTGAATATTATAATTTGGGTTTCTAAATGCAGGCCTTGGGTGGAAGGCAGGACACTAAGTCCTTGATTATTATAATTAGGGCCCCCACATACCATCAGCATGAGAGCCCAGTATGAGGGTGGTTACATTTAACTGGCACTCAAGCCCAAGTGGGCAATACCAACTAATCTGTATATTGTACAAGCAAACTCCCCAACAAATCAGAAGATTTAAAAGATTCTTTAAAGATGACTGGAGGAATGGATCTGAGACAATATGCACAGACCTGGATTGCCAGTAATATTTTCCGCTTTTTCCTCCCCATTAATATATAGGTGCATCTGAGGTGTAGAGAATGTTAAGAAAGAATGAAAAAAAAAAAAAAGAGAATGCAACCTCTTATTCATTGCTTGTATTACTTGTTTTGATTTCAAAATCGCATGATCGATATATGGTGGTTCATTGGAGGTGGACAAAAAAAATGGAACTAGAGAACGACCGATTATCGTTATTTTCAGCAATATCGGTATCGGCCTATAGAGATACCGATATTGCTGATAATGCAGACCAGGACCGTAGGGCCCATCATAAGCCCGGAGATCATGGAGGGCCGCAGCAATCTCTTACTTACCTTCCCAACAGCTCCCTTCAGCGTCTGTCGCGAGAATTAGACAGGGGAGCTGCTGGGAAGGTAAGCAAGAGCTTGCTGGGCTTCCTACTGCACAGTCCATGCCACCGGACCACCAGGGAATGCCATATCCCCCCTCCCTCGCCAGGTAACAAGCAGGGAGTGGGGGACAAAAATTACTTTAAAATATTTCAACACAAATTACATACCTACAGAAACACACACACACACACACACACACACACACCATTCACTATACACACTGCATTCACTATATACACACACTACACAAACACACTCTGCATTCATTGTATACACACACTGCATCCACTACACAAACACACACAGCTCCCCTATCTAAACACACTGCATCCACTACATGTGGCATGTATATTTTGTGCATTTACCTTTAGAAATAGTTCATGTTTTCAAAATGGTAAATGTACAGAATATCGGTAAGTTATCGGCTATTGGCCTGAAAGTTCACATATCGGTATTGTCTCAAAAAAAAAAAAAAAAAAATATCCCTAAATGGAACAGGTAAAAATTTAGACTGTAGACACAAAAAGGAAAAAATTTTTAGGACTGAGAAAACGCTCTATAAATGAGAAGACACTATCAATGTAAAACTGGTTATTAACCAAATCTGTATTTATTATGAAGGAATTACACAAATGTTTCAAAACATGTATAACCTTTAAGAAAATTCCAATCTAGCATTAATCCTATGGTGTATGTTCATATTAAAATGGCTCTGACACACTAACAGGAGCATTGCATAAAGTTAAAATCTTTATCATTAAGATCAAGACTTTGTTCAAAACATATCACTACAGTCAAAAGATACAAGACAAAGAAGGGACTACTTTGTCTTATGGTAAAATCCAATCTTGCAGGATCCTCCATGGAAATTGGATTTAAGAGATGAAGTGGTTACGTTGCCTAGAGTGCCCTTTTAAAAGAATAACCACAAATGTTACTACTTGAGGACTTTTAGTTGGTCTTTGGTACTCCAGCTAAGTAGTTTCCGTTTTGCTGCAGGACTACTGCTATTTTTTTTAGAAGGTACACATGAGTAGGTGTAATCCATTCCTTCGTCTCCACTAAGGATTTTATTTTGAGGAGACGTTTCTGAAACCTGGTCTTTAGAAAGTGTCAAAGGAATAAGTGAAACAGAATTTTGGATACCATGATCAGTTTGGAAGCCAATATTATTCAAAAATTCTGAATCCTTGCATTCAAAGTCTGTCACACTTGTGGACATGTGCCAAGGTGACTGAGAAGAAAAAATGGAAAAAGCTTCAGACGTTTGAGGTTTATTCCCCGGTGAATGCATAGACTGGAGGAGGAGAGATTCTCCAAAGGCTTTATCACTGTTATGTTTATGCTCATTTGGAAGTGTTGTAGCATTTGTTGAGGAGGATGTTGCTTGAGATGATTGGTTTTCGAGAAATGGGCTTCTGTGGTTTTCTGATTCAGATATCATGGAATCCAGCTCATTCACCTTATTGAAATAGGCAGCATCAATGGAATCTTCACTTGTTACTTGGCACTCACTGATCAAACTTTGCTGTACAGGATGATTTTTTATGGGCTCCACCAATTGATGTTGAGCATGTTGAAGGTGTTCTTTCTGGGTTTCACCATTGTTTTGGCAACTCAAAAACAATGAATCTGACTCCATGAAGTTTGTTGGGCTCTTTTCACTTTTTATTGTTCCTGGAACAAGATAGGGCGCTTCACTTTTTTTTTTTAAGTCATCAAAAAATAATTTTCTAAGATAAGTCAAAGGCTTTTTTATACTTTTTTGTTGTACAGTGGGAGCTTCTTTGCTGTTAGGGGTATTTAGTTGAAGAGCACTAAATGGCAACAAGGAATTACTTGGGCTACAGTACTCTGAGACCTCTCTTCCTTTAGAAGGTGTGCAAGTTTCACTTTTATCCTCATCCAGTTTATCTTTTTCATGTGATCGTTTCCAAGTACCATCGTCAGCCAAGTTTTCATTTACTTTTGAACAAATCTGAGTTTGTAAATTAATGGACCATGTGTTATCTGCAAACACATTTATTTGGTTTGCAGAGGATGCACAGCTACTTGATGAAGGGAGAGTATCTCCGAACTCGCTTGGATCACTTTCTTTACAGAATTCCTCTAGGTTAATATCTCTCCAGTCATGTGCAGTACCAACTACTTCTTGATTCCCATTTTCTTCAGTCTGCTCATTGCTTTCACAGTTTGATCTTCCTTTTTGATTCACACCAGAGGGCTGTTGCAGTTTTTCAACTTGACCTTCTAGCTCTTCTATATATTGATCACTCCTCTCAAGAGCTTTTTTAAGCCTGTTCATCTCCCGTTCATACTGATCAACCTTTGCTTGCAACGCAGCTACTGTAAATCTTCCAAACCTAAGAAAAAAAACAAAATTTTTTATAAAATAAGATTTTTTTTAAAAATTCTTTAAAGTATTTTATGCAGAGGCTATAGTAATAGAAACACTGTATATGTTATCTACTTCACTGTCTGGCAAGCAAATTTAGCAGATTTAGCAAATACTACAATACTATGCCAACCAATATTTCCTACTGGCGAATACATTTCCACACCATGGTACAGGCTTACTCTAGGTGACAGTCAATAATTAATAATATAATTATAATAGAAATCATTTACCAACTGTAAAGCGCTGCAGAAGTTGTTGGCGCTAAATAATAAAAGTTAGGACCGTTTTTGGAGCCAGTTTTTATGGTAGTTTTAAAAGGTTGCCTAGAAGATGTACTTCTTTTTAGAGTAATGTAAAACCACAACAAAACATGGGCACCAGTAGAAAAATTGTAAGACTCTTATGCAAATGACTTCAACAATTTGTCTAGTCCAAGATTACAAACCTTGCTGGAAATGTATAAATAAATGCAGATTTGAGATTTTGCCTGCAAAACTTGTCACTTCTGTTTTAGGCTCAGGTCACTTCCAAACAGAAAAATGATTATCACCCCACAGTACTATATCAATACCAATTTTCTCAAAAATGTTCAATCAAGTTTCACTTGTATTAAATCGTGTAGCAAAATAAAATAGACAATACATCCAGCGCAAACAGCTTTTCATTGAGAATAACGAGTCATTAAAAAAAAAAAAAGCCTCAGGAAGGATAACCTACTTATAATCAGAAAAGTAGTTGAATAAAAACAGACTGGGAAGTGGGCAAATATTTCTTATCTATGGCTCTATAACTTTGTATTTTAAGTAAAAGTGCAAAGAAAAAAAAAAAGTTTTGAAAAATACAAATAGAAAATTCAATGTGTCATAACAAAACAACTGTTCTTTATAGGTTTCAATATTTGTTTCCTTTTTTTAAAATCTTTTGTAAACCTTTACAACCTTTTTCTACTGCTCGACTATTTCACACTGGGGTTTAATTACGAGGGGAGGTCACAAGGTCTGAGCATTAATCTTTATTGCTGTATCATTGTGTGAGTCAGGAGTTCCAGGTCTGACTGAATTGAGCTTTTCATAGAGCGAGAATAACCTTTGTCCAGTTCAGACAGACAGCCCACATGGGTACATGTGCGTGATTAGATAGTGTATCAATCTGCTTCCAGGCTATGGAAATTGTGTTTTTTTTCCATATTCTTTACACAAATACATTTGCTTAGATGAAGCTGTTTTGGTTGGATCTTGGATCTCTACTGCCCTGATACACACTTATTCCAGCAACCATCAGCCTTTGGCAGAGGGAACCAAATAACAATAGTTGTAATTGTGAGGAGAAGCAAATTACAGAGGAATCATATCTACAAGACAGAAAATATATATCTTGTATTCAAAAACATAAAATAATTGTGCTGATCTCTAGTTTACTAGAGGAAGATGCGAATACGAAAATATACTACAAAAAAAGGTAACACGTGTTACAGATGAATTGATGAATCAGAAATGCTCCCAGTATTCTATGATTCTTTTTAAAGCCCTTGTGTATAAATATCATAGTAAAAACTGCATAATTTATATCTACAGGCTAATTGCAGCTTAGTTATTAATACCTTTAATTAAATCAGAATGTGATAAAATTCTTAATTAACGTTAGCAAGAACGATCTTAAAGAACCAGTGCTGAACACTAAGAGCATATCAGAACCTTTGTGTTAATTGATACTTAATAGGTTGGGACCCTATGAAACATTAGGGATATTCTGCTATTAGAAGGAAGCATGACAACCATATTGAGCTGTTGAGGAATTGGTTAGCACTGATTCACATGCATTTAAAGTTGCTCTGACATCCCCCCCCATAAAGTCTGCATTTCATTGAAATTTCAATGCAGTCAAAATATATAAGAAAGTACTACGATGGTAAAATCCTACCTCTCAAGTTTTGTCTCTTCCCCAAACCATCAACAGCTGTGGGAATAGGATGCCATCTTGCTCATCGCAAGATAATATCTATCAAGGATCCCATCAAGGATTGGGAGATCCTCCATAGGCGAGTGTACAATACTGAAATAGGCTCCTAGCAGATTAAGCTCCCGGTTAATAATGGTATCCAAGGGGAATACTTCAAGTGGGACAACATTATGTTTAAATCCAGAACCCTAGTTAGAACGTTTGTCATTTAACTTTTTCCCCCACTACCTTTCAGGCCAATTAATGCAAATTACTAGTGAGCTAGGCACAATCACTTAAAGTTTTGCATGAACTTATATTATACACACACATAAACAGATGCACACACCACCTGTCAGAAATAAGGGTTTTTTGTTTTGTTTTATTCCTTCTCTTCTCCCTCTTTTCTGATATAAGTTGAAAAGTTAAGAAGAAGCATGATGACGGTATTCAACATATGGTATATTGCTCTAAGGTTGTATTTTTTGGGGGTATACTTGTATAGATCGACACATATACATTTAATTATATGTTTGTATATTTTGCATGTATTATCTATACATTATAAATGCTCCGAACATTGATAACTATGGGAGGATTAATTTAATCCTCATTTAAATAAATAAGGGTTTAAGTGGAGCATTAAAGGGTAAATGTTATTAACCCTGGTTGGTTTAAACGTATTGCGATTTGGGTGTCTTTCCTTCCCCCCTTCGGGACCTTAATCCTACAAATTTAGGCAGGCTGGTCCGAGGGGATACAAGAATGTTTCCTCATTGGATTATTGGGGGGGGGGGATTGTTGGAGGGGATGATTTCCCGCCCTTTGGGTTTTTTCTTTTTTTTTGGTTTTGTTAAAATGAGATTCGGCGAGGGGCTTAAAGGGGGTTTTGTGTGTGATGGCGTCATTTAAGGCGCTATCTTGGAATGTCCACGGTATGAATTCACCTCAGAAAAGGGGAGCTGTTTATAAATTTCTGAATGATAACTTAATAGATATTGCCTTCATTCAGGAGACACATTGGATTGTGTCTCCTCATAGATTATGGAAATTTAACAAATTTCCTTGGTTATTTGCCTCAAACTTAGAGGTTAAAAAAAAAAAAAAAAAGTTGAAATTATTCATCCCAGGGGCAGATATTTTATATTATAAAAATTGATGAGATAGATATATATATATATATATATATATATATATATATACACACACACACATACACACACACACACACACACACACACACACTTGTCAATATTTATGCACTGAATCCTAACCCGGTCAGATTACTAGACTGAATTATGGAAACAGTGGATGAGATATCTAGCGGTAATATTATAATTGGAGGCGATATTAACTGTGTAGTGAATCCAAAAATAGATAGAAGTTATAAACATACCTGGGTGGCTAATGTGTCAGATGTTTTACGAGCTGATCTGTCAGAATTTTTGGTTAAGAATTCCTTATATGATTGTTGGAGGGTCTTGAATCCTTGTGAGAAAGATTTAAAAAAATGTTTTCCTGAAGTGCACCAGACCTACTCACGTATTGATATGTTTTTGTTAATGCTGTTTTTTTAGGTTCAATCGTTAAGGCTACTATTGGTTCTATAGCAATTTCTGACCATGTACCAGTATCTGTACAAATTATTATAAAAGATAGCTCTAGACCTAGGATGCGGTGGAGACCTAATGAAAACCTATTGAAAGTACATCACATTATGGAGCCCCTGTCCTCCGAAATTTAGAGGTTTTTTTTTTTTATATTAACAATAATGGAGAAGTTTCAACGGCTATGGTCTGGTATACTTTGAAAAGCTTTGTAAGAGGTTTATTAATTAAATATGGTACAGAACTTAAACGTAAGAAAGGCGAATCTCTACAAAAACTGAGGATAAATTTGGCCAAAAAAGAACACTTAAATAAAATGTGTAACTAAGGAATGAACAGAAGAAATAACTAAGCTTAAGATAGCTATTAAGGATAAAACATATGAGTTGGTCAATAAAAATATTACCTTCCTGAAACAAATATGGTACCATAATAATAAAATCAATAGGGATTTCTAGTATTATGTCTAACAGACTTAAAGGGGTTATAGGAGACTTGATTGAGGCGGATCAGTCTGGCTTTGTGAAGGGGAGAAGTACTACTGACAACACGCGAATGATATTGATTTCATAGACTAAAGAAGAATCAAATGAGAGCAGTTATTATGGCCCTCGACGCCGAGAAGGCATTTGACAGGGTCAGTGGAGTTTCCTTGACTCTTTCCTGGGCCAGTTCGGACTAGAGGGACAATTCAAGAATAAAACTATGTTATATAAGAACTATTTAGCGACAATAAGTAATCCCTATTTTGACTCGAATCCTTTTGAAATAAAAAAATGGCACGAGACAGGGGTGCGAATATTATATATATATATTCAGCCCTTAATGTATTTGGCAATTTATTGACACACTGTATAGGGTTATATGCATTGTATTAGTCTGTATAAGATCTTATAAGGCTGTATACCTACAATGTATTCTATAGGGCAGTATACTTTTGTGTATTTATTTATACAGTGTTTTGAGACAATGTTGCAATATGGAAAACTTTAAATAAAAATAAATATAAAAAAACAGATATGAGTGTCACTCTTCTGCATGCTGCTGTTAATCTGCTAATACGAACTGAGGAGGTGGCGGCTCAGTAACAGATTGTCAAAATCCAAACAAAAACACACAAGATGCAGTTGGGGATATAACTCCCAACTTTAGTTTATTACAATTATTTTCAGAATAAGAAATCTAAACCTTTGATATTTTCAAACCAAGACACAGATTTCACAGAGGATTTGAGATGTTCTTTGCATTTATAAGCACTCCCAGGGTTATTAAGAAAACTCTGAATTACAGTGTATAATTATTATTGGTATTTATATAGCAACAACTAATTCTGCAGAGCTTTACAATAAAATCAAAGGGGGCGGGGGGAGGGGGAAATGTACAATGAATGAGACAATTACAAAATGACACAGAGACAATAGGTAGATGAAGGCCCTGCTCAAACGAGCTTACAGTCTAGAGGATGTGGGATACAAAAACAACAGGGTAGCAAGGATGACAGCCCCCAAACAAGATGGAAAAGTAGCAGAACTGGAGGAGAGTGGAGTGTGGCTATTTAGGAGAGCAAGAGACAGATATAGATAGGTAAGGGAGTTCCTAAGCTTTTTTGAACAGATGTGTTTTGAGGGACTTCAACAATTGAAGACTGGGGGAAGAGTCTGTTCCAAAAAAAGGGAGCCAACCGTGATAAATACTGCAAGCGTGAGTTAGCAGTAAGGGTGCGAGCAGAGAGACTGGAAAGGGGAATATCTACAAATCAGTGAAGAAATGTAAGAGGAGCTAGAGTTATTTAAAGCTTTATAGGTAAGGGTTAGTATTTTGAATGGACAACTATAGGATACAGGAAGCCAGTGTAAAGATTGACAGGGGGGCGAGGTCTGGTAGGAGCGACATGTAAGAAAGATCAGCCTGACAGCAACATTCATTGCACATTGTAGCGGTGCTGTTCGGCTTCTTGGGGGATCATATTAAAATACAAACAGCAAAATCGAGGCTAAAACTTGGGGTGCAGACTACACGGTGCCCACAAGGTACTTTAACATTGGATACACCACTGGAGAGTTTTAATCCCTGCAGGACCAGCAAGGATCAAAGCCAGCCCGAGGGGATAGCAGCCATAATAGGTCACAAACACTGGCCAAAATTGGCATTCAAATTAGTTTTTTGCATTTTTAACACACAAACATTAACTAACTTTGGCCAGTGTTTGTGATTAAGTGGCTACTAAAAAAGGCTGAACACACCCCATTTGCAATACCTTGGATTATCTACTATTGCAAATGGTATGCCATCATGGGGGTAATTCTCATTCCTGGAATACCATACGGTCTCAAAGTCAACGAAACCATTTGGGCAAATTTCAATGTGACAAAAAACAAGAAAAATGTAACATGCTCTATTTGACCCAGTAACTTCCCAAAACACCACAAAACCTGTACATAGGGGGTACTGTTTTACTCGCGAGACATTGCTGAATACAAATGTGTATTTTATTGCAGTAAAAGCAAACAGTATTATGACAGTCACAGTTAAAATGTCATGTAGAACTAAAAAATAAATAAAAACACGACAATTCTTATTTTCTCCCATTTTTCTATATTTTATTCATATTAAATTAGGTTTCATAGCTAAATAGTTGCTGTTAAATGAAAGCCCTGTTTCCCCTGAATAAAATGATATATAATATGTGTGGGTGCACTTCATATGAAAGGTGAAATATGGTTGAACAAACATAGTCAAATTCGAAGTTTTGTTTAAGTTTTATTTTGATCAAAACGTGTACATTTGGCTCTGTGTCCTTATGGGGTTTCTTGGTTCAAAAGAACAGTTGTTATGCAAATGTTCTCTAGCTGTCAAGCTGGACAAAAGTTCTATTATTAGCATACTCATAAATGTCAATCATTTTAGTTAAGAGTATAGTAACACTTGTCAAAATTATGTGTATGTTGACGGTCAAGAATACATAAACTCCTGGGAGCTTAGCACTGCATGTTTTAAAACCAGAATTTTTTTTTGACTTATGTAAAAATGTATTTTACCAGAGTAAAAGCAGCGGTATTAAGTCATCGAGGTAGTTGCTTTCCTTAACTACTGGATGGGTCCTGAAAAGCAGTAAAAGTGTAAAAAAAAAAAACTTACAGGACCACTCAACATCAGTAAAACACTTCAGCTTGCTGAGGTGCTTTATGAGGAGTATCCCATAATAATGACAAATTATAAAAGTTCCAATCTCCATTAGTTCAATCTAATCAACCGGTCAGTGCCGATTTCTATCAGGAGGTCATGTTTCATCCATGATGTTGTGGTAAACTGAAAATATATATATACACACACACACAAACAGGTGGGGGTTGAGGGGTACTGCAGCATTAAAAAAAAAAAATACAGGTTTGTATTCCTAATTATGGTGTTCCTTCAATGTCAGAGAGACATTTAAAATCAACAGTGTTCAGGATCTAATTCTAAATCCACAAAACGTATGCTTTTCTAAAAAAAATAAAAACCCAGATTAAAAACCGTGGAAGAAGTGGGAGGCTTGTGTATAAGGCATTTTTATTTCTAAAAAGTCTGCATTTTTATTTGTTTCTCTGTAACCAGGACATAAAGGTGGATATATTTCAGACTTTTTTGGGGGGGCATGTTAAGCTAAATCCTTAGAACAATTACTACAATCTTATCCTCATTCATTCCTCTGAAAGACAGGTGACCTGCTAAACCTAAACATGCAATTTGCATTAATCAATCTCAGAGAAGAAAAGATTATTGAGCCCCCAGGAGCAGCCACAGTGCTTCACCTAGAATTACTGAAAATAAATTAGAACCGCAGGGGATCTAGTGTAGGTTGCCTGCCTTATAATAAAGTTAGGAGTTGGTTATATTTCAGGATTTAAGTTTGAAATCTTTTACAGCTTTTTTTTGACCTGCCCGGTAACAGAAGGAAGACATCTACCCTCAGGATTAATAACTCCTGCAAAATCAATTTAATAAAATGTAAGGGCTACATTACAGTTCTCAAATGCGAGTCATATAAACAGACTCAAATATGTGCTATGTATGCAAATATAAACAGTCAACAGGTCATAACAGGTGAGAGTCCACTTATCTGAGAATTCAAATATATAGAAGTCCATTAAGGAAATTTAAATTGCCTATAGAAATACCATCTACTTTTGATTTATTATGCAACATGGATTTGATTATTTGTACTTTCAAAACACTATATGATCTGACACGTAGACAGAGAAACATTCCCTAAGTGGAAATGTTTGAGACTTTAAAAACATTCCATATAGCATATATTTTCTGTATATTACATCAAAGTGCAGTGATTGGGAAATGCTGGCAAAGAAAATGGGAAAATACTGGCATGAGTGGAGAAAAAGAAAAAAAAAAAAAAAAAGTTGCCTGAAGATATGTCTACATTTTAAGATGGGTATTGGAGTCATCAACATAATAGGGGCTTTTGATAAAGAAGACAGTAACAAACACTAATGAAGCCAGATAATGAAATATTTAAAATAATAAAAGGAATATTGCATGGTTGATCAGCGCTTTTGTTTTATGTCTCCTCCCCTATAAATTTCTTTCTGTACCAAAAAAAAATAAAAATTATAATGCTTAGAGGAAGAATAAGATTTGCGTATAGGAAACTACTAACACTAACTGAATTAACGAAAAGTGTAGAATTTAAGGGCAAAAATAGCCAATAGAGAAACACAGCTGACTTGGAAAAAATTTCCAAGTCGACTATTATGGTTTCAATTTTGAAATTCACCGTGACCTCCTGTCAAGTCAAACTTTATATTTTACAAAAACAGCACATTTAGAGAGTAAAAAGCAATCATACTTTTGAGGAGATCTGCCAACTACTTCGCTTTTTAGACGCAAATTCTCTCTTCCAAATTCAATGTTTTCAATCCTCAGCTTTTTATTTTCCTATAAAAGAGGCAAAAATAATTACTTAAATTAATAGAATACATTTTAAAAAATGATCAAAATCTGAATAAAGCAACAAAAAAAATGAAAATGATCCAAAATGTATCTTACACTAAATACGTCACTTCTAATTAACATCAGGATACAAAAAGCATTTGTATTTCTAGTCCCTAAACACCATGCCAGTCTCCTATCAAGGGAGGCAAACAAAACTGCAGTTAGTTCAGAAAGTCATTAAGGGAATGTTCTAATTGCTTTTCCATGTTTTTTTTCCACTTGACTAGATATTTTTGGCAAAGTAAAAATTACAATATGCAGGTATCAGCAAAATAGATGATCATTTTCTTTACTTGACTAGATAAAACAGTACGCATTAAAAAGTAAAAAAGACGCCATTTACAACAGTAAATTTATAGATACTAAAATATCCACTCATGCAGAGATTTGTTTTCAGTTTGGTTGATTGATTTAAAATCATTAGTAAGCCAAACAAGCTGACACTACAGTTAATTAACATGCTGTTACATCCACTTCTAACAGTCACACAATGCAGTACCCATGTAAAGCATTATTTAAATGGTTATTCACTAAAAGGGGAGTTCTTTGTAGTTAAAGGAACATACTTGTCAACCTTTTTACTAGTAAAGAAAAGATCAGTACTATACTAGATTACTATATTAGAAAAACCAACAAACAAAAAAAAACCCACACCGCCATGGGTGGACACATTTCTACTTCTCTACACTGTAATTACTCATCTAAAAGCACTCACTACTGAAAAAAAAACAAACCAAACAGACTATATTCACTCAAAAGGACGATGCTGCAGGTACACGTGCAGTATACTCACAACAGCCTTCCATTTTACCGGTCCGGAGAACGGAAACAAATGAGTAATAATTACCCAAACATTTTGTGGACATATCAAAGTTTGTATTTAAATAGTATATCTTTAAAATGTGCTTAATTAGATTTCTTTTTGTGTTATTAAATCAATTATGTAGGAGGGAGGAATGGAAACAATTAGACATTGGAAAACCATACGGTTCTAAAATTACCTCTTTTAGCGTCTCAATGTCCCCTGTAAACTTTGTAATACTATCACTAGCGGCTTGAAGCTTTTTCAGGATATCCTCTAGCTTTCTTGCACGGATGCCATTTTTATCCTCCGTTTCACTGGTCTCACATTCACTCGGTAAAGAAGGAGTTGTAGGAGAAACTTGCTCAATTAGCTTTTTCTCCAAATCATCATTTGTTCTTTTTAGGTCTTCTATTTCTTTTAGCAATGTTTCGATTTCATCCTAAAAATAAAAGGATATTCAGTTCACTTGTCAAAAATACTAAGTTCACATTTCTCAATTCATTAGTTAATATTTTAGAGTTCCATGTGCTACAGGAGTAATGTTAAAAAAGGTAACTTTTTCCCCAGCAAACACTGAGCATAATAAATTGCATACATTACATATCTCCAGTGCATACTTTACACTGATCAGCTTCATGTAGTTACCATACGTGCGGTTAAAACAGCTCTAATGCGTTAAGGCATGGACTCCACAAAAACTGTGAACGTGTTGTGTGGCATCTGACATTAGCAGCAGACCCTTTAAGTCCTGCAAGTTGTGAGGTATGGCCTCCATATATCGGATATGTCGCTCCAGCACATCCCAAAGATGCTTAATCGGATTGAGATCTGGGGAATTTGGAGGTCATGGCTACACCTTGAAATCTTTGCAGTGTTCCTCAAAACAATTTGTGCAGTGTGGCAGGTCCCCATTGAAGGCGCTTTCAGTGGTGGACACTCTGACCTGTCTGCAGCTATGCAGGCCCAAATGCAGCAAAGTGCCAAGGACTGTGTGTTCATGACACTTTTCTGTCATGGCCAGCATTAAGTTTGCATTTAAGCATTAAGTTCTGTGTGATCGGACCAGATGATCTAGCCTTTACTCCCCATGTTATGAATTAGTCTTGGGCGCCAGTTCACCGGCTGCCCTTCATAGCACCACTTTTGGTAGATACTAACCACTGTATACCAGAACACTCCACAAGACTTGCGATTTCAGGAATGTTCTATCCCAGTAGCCTAGTCATCGCTATTTGACCCTTGTCAAAAACACTCAGATCTTTTTGCTTCTCCATTTTGTCGTTGAAATATGACTAATGTTATTTACTTCATTTGTTAGAGGTTTTAATGTTGTGGCTATCAGTGTAGTGTCTCTTTTGTTCCAGCTTGCATTATGGATTTTTTAAAAATGCACTAGACAGTAACACATGGTTGGTCTGACTGATTCACACAAGCTGAAATAATACAAGGTGTCTTTGCATGCTGCAGCCACAGAGAGAGATTCAGAGTTCTCCATTGGTGTAAATTAATCATAGGACTCTGTATCCTCTTGGGGTTCTGACAGAGCACAGGCACATGGAAGTGCAAGCGAACATGAAACTTAAACAATTCTAAGAGCAAACCGGGTGAGCATCACTAGGAGAATCACCATCATTTGAAACATGAACTATCTTCAAGAGCTAGTTGGAACATTAGAAAGAAAAATTTACAAATATTTCTTGAATGAAAGGCACACCATTAATGTAAAAAGGAAAACTAGAATAAAGAATAGTAATGAGATCTTCATGAGAACTGAGTCAATGTAAAACCCTCCGAGTCACAATATGAGTCATTAATTTAAAAAATAAAAAAAATAAAAATAAAACACACATTCCCAAACAATTACCTCATATTCTTTATGAAGAAGTTCAAGTCTAGTTTTACGTAGGTGCTTTCGGACCGAGTGACTAAGCACGGATTCATTTTCTCCTGCGCCTCCTATAGCAAAATATAATATGTTAACCCAAATCCACATGTATGCATTTAATAATTTGAAATACACATTTACTGTTCACTAAAATAAATAATAAAGAACAAGCAAGAGTGAGAAAATAAGAGGAAAAGAATACCCTGACCTAAAATGAGTAACCTTTAAATATGTTGAGATTCATTTATTAAAACTAAGTGAATATTATTGGGACTGCACTCCACAAGACCGTACTCTCAGATTTAAAAAAATGAAATAAATAAAAAAAAATAAAAAAAAAATCAGGGAAAAGTTCCACAATGAAACTTGTACAAACTTGTTTACTTAGCAAATTAGGTTTCCAAAGGCTCAAGAAGAATAAAAGGGATGTTACAAGAACGAGAACTACTACAGCTTGCACGCTCCCAATTCAGTGGCATTGAAAGGACCAATAGTAATTCAACTTTAGAGAAATAGATGCTGTGATTTGGTACAGGGCTCAAAAATTTCACTCACCTGCTAGTCACTGGCAAGTTAAAATTCAGCACGGTGTTGGATAGCAATAGAGAGAACATTTTAGGCCTATCTATTAGCACAGGACTCAAAATTTTGAGCTCTTATTTCAAATTGCTAAGCTGTCAGTTACCCCAGTTGTCAGAGTCTAAATAAAATGTCTGAGCATGCTGTGGTGTGCTTTTGGGGGACACCCATGTTACTAGCACCACAACTACTACAATATTCATAGGTCCTTGGAACTACCCTTTAATAAAAAATAAAAAAATAAAAAAGGAAAAAAAAGTCCTGCCTAAGAAAGTTAAAAAGTAATATTGTTCCAAAAATAAGCAGCTTCACCGAACCAAAGTTATAAAAAAATATAAAAGGAATAATTTGAACCTTACTATAACTGGAAGCACATGGGAAGAGATTATGTGAGGCCCCAATGCATCATACCTATGATATCTTTGCAAGGATTCTCAGAAGTAATAGGCACTCGGCATGCTGGGCACTGGTTATTGTTCTTCAGCCATAAGTCAATGCATACAGAACAGAAGACATGATGGTTGGCACAGATGACGGGCTGTCGTACCTATGACAAAGTTATAGTAGTTAATGTGTTTAAGCCAATACATTTTCTTTTTGAATGGCATGCCTGTGTTATAAAATATAAATTCATTCACAACTTATACCCAACGTTTATTTATATTTGTGTTGTGCACAAATTACAATGGGGACGGTTCCTCTAAAACATTAGGGTTTCAGTTTGCTAATGACATTGATCCTGGACTGAAAGATATTTTTATGGTTCTATGTGCCAGCTGTCTCATCTTCTTGTGCCCCATACATCACGGTTTATCTCACAGCCGATGATTCCCTTTGCCTGCAAGTTACATACAATGCTCTCTTGCCGTCAACTTAATTCTCAGGATACAACTGGCTTCCTAGCACGATTTATCATTTCAACTTTTTTTTTTTTCCTCTGAAGGTTATGGCAACTGCATCTTCAAACCCACTCCTTTAGGAGGTGATGTCATCATAAAGACTTTTACCTGGAACACTTCTCAGCTGCCTTACTTACTGTTACACCAGATGACATAAATATCTCCATTAAAAACCTCCAGCAGCTCTGATGCCTCCTCTTTTTATATCAGCTGATTAGAGCTGTGGTAATGTAACATGGTGCCTACATAATGCAGTTCTTTCAACATTTCAACCACAAAACAACCTATAGAACAGTTGAGTGGTGCTGAGAGTAACATGTGGAATCAGCTTTCATGCAAAGTTATTGTACATATCCACTCTATAGAGTTGTTTAGAGCTTTGTATTAAAGTGGCACTGTCATGGTTGAAATCCAGTTTTTAGTCTTTTAACCCCCCTCCCGACTCCACTACATCTATTTGTCCCCCTAGTTATCCGCAAATGCCCCTAAGTTTTTCCATCTTTATTTCCTGCCCGGACGCCGCCATCTTTGTGTGGGTAGATGAAGTCCCTGTGGGACACGTCATCTGCCCACACTAGATAGCGCTGTGAAATTCCCACGCATGCCAAGTTAAACACTTTGGCATGCGAACGGGAATTTCATCTATTCATTCGTCTGAAAGACGAATAAATGAAAAGAAATGTCAAACGAATGAAGGAAGACCTCTTCGTTCAGTTTATTACAAGGAGGGAGCTACCGGCTATTTGTAATATGTAAAAGTAGAAGCGGCAGGGAGCAGTGCTCCCTGCCACTTCCTACGCACCCCCCATGTCCTCCCTTACTCTATGGGGGGTCAATATGCCCCCATAATTGCATAAGGGAGATTGAAATCTCCCGAATGTCCCTACTTGCTATGCCATGAGTAGGGGCATGTCTACTAAACAGTGAGCAGCCAAAAGCCTTTCTAATAAATGGCCCCATGGTGGAGCATCTATTAACTAGCAGGGGCGGGACACACACATAGTGTGCTCCCTGAACCCCCCACTAGTGCCCCACGAGTGGGGGCTATAAAAGTAAACGGGGAAAACCTTGTTGTCTCTCCCCATGGTCGGCGGGTGGGGGCCCTAAATTACAATAAGGGACATACACCTATTGTCCTCCACCCCGGCGCCCACCCATGAGCGGCAAGTGGGGTCCCTTAATGAAAATGGGGTGACAGGACGAGACGACAACACACCTAGTATCCTTCCCCTGGCCCCCACCCCTGAGCGGCAGGTGGGAACCCTAAATTACAATAAGGGGGAAGACAACCTATTGTTTCCCCCCCCCCCCAAGCCCCCACTCATGAGCTGCGGGTGGGGGGACAACATATTGTCCTCCCCCCGGCCCCCACCCAAGAGCTGCAGGGCGGGGGAGGCACGCCCTGCAATTAGGTTCAGAGCACTCGGATTGGCTGGTTTAAGCTTGAAATCCAACCAGAGTGCTCTGTGTCATTTTACACAGTAGAGATCGACCGATATTTATTTTTTAGCGCCGATACCGATAATCTGAACTTTCAGGCCGATAGCTTACCGATATTCTGTACATTTACCATTTAGAAAAAATAAACTATGTCTAAAATGTAAATGCACAAAATATACATGTCACATACATGTAGTGGATGCAGTGTGTATATAATGAATGCGCGTGTGTTTGTGTAGTGTGTATAGTGAATGCGCGTGTGTTTGTGTAGTGTGTATAGTGAATGCGCGTGTGTTTGTGTAGTGTGTATAGTGAATGCGCGTGTGTTTGTGTATTGTGTATAGTGAATGCGCGTGTGTTTGTGTATTGTGTATAGTGAATGCGCGTGTGTTTGTGTATGTGTATAGTGAATGCGCGTGTGTTTGTGTATGTGTATAGTGAATGCGCGTGTGTTTGTGTATGTGTATAGTGAATGCGCGTGTGTTTGTGTATGTGTATAGTGAATGCGCGCGCGTGTGTGTGTGTGTGTGTATAGTGAATGCGCGTGTGTGTGTGTGTGTGTGTAGTGAATGCGTGTGTGTGTGTGAGTGTGAGTGTGAGTGTGAGTGTGTGTGTGTGTGTGTAATATTTTAGTCCCCCCTCCCTGCTTCTTACTTGGCCAGGGAGGGGGGATATGGCATTCCCTTGTGGTCCAGTGGCATGGACTGTGCAGTGGGCCCCGCAAGCTCTTACCTTCCCAACAGTTCCCTTCAGCTCCCCTGTGTAAATCTTGCAGCCTGCATGACTCACGGAGCGTTGCCATGGTAACCTGTGACAACGCTCTGACAACCACTGGGCTCGCGAGATTTAGACAGGGGAGCTGAAGGCAGGTAACAGCGAGCTTGTTGGGCCCCCCTAGGTCCTGGTATGTATTATCAGCAATATGGGTATATCTATAGGCAGATACCGATATTGCTGAAAAGTATCGAATATCGGCCGATCCCTATTACACAGCGTGGGAAAGTGCTTTTAAATTTTCCCATGCTGTGTAATTTGACTCATAACACTTTAGTGTGTTTTTTTTTCCGCTTGGGTTTTTATTTTATTTTCATAGTACGACGGAAAGTTTCCACCCCCTATTTTCATTCAGGGCCTGACCCGCAGCTCAAGGGTCAGGGCACTATGTTCCCCCTAGGTTCGTTAAAAGATGCTCCACCATGGGACCATTTATTGGGAGGGGGAGAAGGAGGAGAGGGGGTATTTATTTAAAAAAAAAAAATTTTTACAACAGTATGCAGATTAATTACAAATACCAAGTAGTTTTCACTTAGTATTAGTAAAGTTGGCTGAAAGAACAATTTAGGTCTTTCAGCATTTGGTAGATAGCTCCCTAATATCGTGGGAATCTACTACTATCTACTAAGCAGCTGCAATGCAGAATGAAATTTCAAACAAAAGTCCAGAATTTCGTCATAACACGAATGGACGAACTGCTCTTATTCTGTTAGGACAAAATCCAGTAGTTTTGCCAACGTTCAGGAATATGGTAAGGAGGCATCGCGAGAACACGGAGGAAAGGTGAGAATTGTGGGAAAATTGCTTTGTTCCTCCGCTGGTCAAGCGTAGGAAACCTCCATAAGACAAAGTAGTCCCCAAATCCTGACAGAGGAAGAGAAGAAGAAGCGATTGAAGAAAGGCAAGTTGGGCGTGACAGTGCCACTTTAAGAGTTAAAGGGTCATTCCAGGTTTAAAGGGTCATTCTGGTTCCCAACCACTTAAGCTTGCTGAAAAGCTTCATGTGTGAAGAGTGTCTCCTCTTTTTGTTTTTTTGTTTTAATAGAAATTGACACTTTTTTAAATTAACTTTGTTACATCCTCCCCTCCCCCAGCAACCTTTCAAGCAGTCAGCAGATTATCAGGTAAACATCAATTGAGCACCTGACTTACAAAGACTTCTTACGGAGCTGTTTTGGGAAGTCCGATTGGACAACCACAGAAAATCTGGGCAAAGTTAGAAGGTGAGAGCTTGCAAAGGCAGCAGACAAGAAAACTGCAGGATTTGCTAGCTGATTTTAGATATACCCCCATTGAAAAAAAAAAAAAAAAAACAATTAAATGCATGCAGGTTTTCATTTGGGGTATACTACTACTAAATAGTGACTTATTTTGTATTTGGGCAGTGGAGTTACCCCTTTAAGAGTTTGAACTAGCTAATATAATGTACAGGAAGCCAATAAAAAGATTAACAGAGGGGTGACATGACACTAGCAGATAATATATATATTTTTTTAAATTAAACTAACGGGACACTAGTCACCAGAACAACTACAGCTTAATGTAGTTCTGGGGAGTACAATCATTTCCTGCAGACATTTTCCTGTAAACACAGCCATCTCAGAGAAAAGACAGTGTTTACATTGCCCCTAGGGACACCTCCAGCGGTCACTGCTCCTCCAATGGGAAAGCATTGGATGAAATAAATTCTGATGAGGTCAGCCAGGAGGCAGATCGGAGACAGGGCCAGTGCCGGTATTTTTGTAAGGGGGGTAGCCTTAATGGTGGTTTTAACACTATAAGGGTCAGGAATACTTGTTTGTCTTCCTGAGCCTTTAAGTTTTTGAAGAGAGGCAGTATAAAAAGAAAACAGATGGGGAGAAAAAAAAAAAAAGACCCAAAGTTAATTGGAAAAGAAGTGGTCAAGCTACCTGATATCTGTATGTGTTTAATCTCTTTTCTGCAAGAACTTTACTTCCAGCAGTGTCATCCACTGTACAAAAGTTTCTGGTGGCTAATGTTAATTTTGTGCATATTCCTGTGCACAGAGTTTCCTTCATTAGCTGGTAATTATCAGCAAAAGGACTCAGCCAGAGAATGCCTGGTGGGATCTTCTTTTGCATCACTGTCCACATGAGGAGCCATAGCACCCAGAGGGGATCAATGAAGAGGGTAAACCAATGCAAAACAGCTTGCCTCATTGCCAGAAAACAAGGCCAGGATACTTCTGTCATCATAACCACTACAGCAGGCTGTAGAGAGGATGATGGATGGACTCAAAAAAATGTTTAATCTCACAAAACGCACATTTGCTACACTGCAGCACTGGGTCACAGCGCCCACCGGATCCACTCCTGTCAGAGTGGTATGGGACCTGGCGGGCACATCTCATTGCGGCAGCGTTCCTACATGGAAATGGAAACGCCGGCGGTTTACACTTAACCATACTCCTGCTGCACCCGCCAAGTTTTACTCCGTGGGAACGCCTCCTGTTTACACTTACCATACTCCTGCTGCGGGCGCTCCTCATGCTCCTTCCTTCATGCAGCATCCAGGTCTGAAAGCGTTAGAGAGACAGGCCGCTGCAAGTCAGAGCCTTTTAAGGCTCCTAGGTAGACCCTAAGTCCAGGACTATTGGGAAAGTGCGTGTGCCGTCACACACGTTCCAGTGTCAAATGCTCCCCTGCAGCCAATCCTAGAGTACCTTAGGCTATTTAAACCCTTTTTGATCATTTCTCAGTGCCCTGTCATGGTTTCCATTGTGGTTATCAGAGAGCGCATTTATGGTATTGTTTCTTGTGTATTTTGACTTTGGCTTGTTACTTGACTATTCCGACTTCTGTATCCCTTGAACTTTAGGGGATTTTAAGGGTCCAGTAATACGCCTTAGAAGTTTCTTTATTTTTTACTTAAGTTCTGCGTGTTGGGCATATTCGTGTATCCAGACAGACAGCCTATAGTTGCCAGGCACTAGAGGGGCGTCTGGGATTTTACTGGACTTTAGGTCATCCTCACGCTCTGCATGACGACATCAAGAGTCCGTTAAATCCCCATAAAAAATAAATAAAAAAAAAAGCCTGTGGCGCATGCACATTAGCTTCTCCTCCCCCCCCACAGTCAGATGACGGCAGGGCGGAGTGCAGACTCTGCGTCAAGGGAAGTAATTTTTTTAACCCTTGAAGTGGCGGGGGAAGCTTGTATTCTTAGCACTTTAGATTCCCTTTAAATATAGGCAATAGGAGAGAAGTTAACATTGTATTAATAATACCAATATGTGATGAAAAATACCAATTGCAAAACAGACTAAAACAGCGATGCATCCTTAGAATATAGCAGAATTGTATAAATTTTTGTCAATTCTAATTTCAAGTAATAACAATTTGGCATTTAGTGAATAACCAGTGTTTGAGAGTGGACATAATCCACCATTTATAGTTTCCAGTTATTTGAAACTATCAGAACTTCCAAACCCTTGTATGCAACCTTCAGCCGTATTGACAAAATAATAATTAAGATGGTGTTGGGATACTGCCTATCTTAGCTTACACTATTTCAACAGACTAATGCAATAATCAACTTTCCTTGTTCAGCAAGAACTCCTATATTAGTCATGGTAGACCACTACTACTTAACCATCAACAGCTACAGAAAACTAATACAAGAAAGAAATAATCCCAAATACAAATGCACGTCACCAGAGAGATCGTATTAAAGTCATCCACTTTAAAATTAAACATCAGTGAATTTGATACAAACTCTAGAATTCACTTTTTTGTAGGTCTAGAATGCCAATGAAATCAAAATCAAGCCTCAGCTACCTCACTGTAATCATGATTGAACCTTTGACTGACTTTTAAAAGGTTTATTAAGGAACTGTCTGGAAAAGATTTTTGCACAATTAAATTGCATAGAATTAACTATTGGTAGTGCCATTTTATTTTATGTTTTTTAAATTCACAAGTTCTTATTGCCATTTGTGCACCCATCCTGTATTTCATGGAAGTGTAATATAATTAACCACTCACCTACACTGCTCCCCTCCCCTCTTTTAGTAAACAATGCAATAGTCTTTACTGGGGTAATAGAACAGGAAATTGACAGTTCCATTTCATTCAAGGTAACTCGAAAATGCACGTAATTTTAAATTGGCAACATTCAGAAAAAAACAAAAAAACAAACAGTCAACCTGCAAATAAATCTGAATTTGAGAAGGGTTCCACATTTTTTATTTTGCCAAATATCATTTAACTCCACTTTGGACTTTAGTGAATAAGTTCTTCATTTAAAATTCTGCTTCATTAGGATTATTAACTGATAAGATGTATACCTTCAAAAATACATGTTCAGGCCCTACAAACATTTATAGCATTTCCGGTTGGGTCTCATGGCATTTACCAGGATAACTTCACATATTGCAAAACACATTTTGTTACAGCGTTTTACAAGAAGACAGTAAACATAAAAGTTGAAGGTTGAGGATGGTTTGAATTTAAACTTATACAAAGGACTCACTAATACAATGCCATGCAAAAAAAAAAAAAAAAAATCTGTACAACATTAAACTGGGCACCCTAGAAATGTATGTCCTAGAACTGGCAGAGCAATCAAGTGCAGTTCACAAGACACCTAGGTGGGAAGGCTAGCCAGTGCTGAGAGCTAGAGATAAACTTTGGCCGAATATACAAGTTAGGGGTAACCATTGTTTACCAATAGAGCAGTTGTCGTTCTATGTTTCCCGGATGCTCAGTAACCACCCGGCCAGCGTAGCATCAGGTTAAACGTAGTTTACAGCTGGAATCCGAAGGTTTAGCGTACTGCGGCCACTTACCTTCCCCAGGCAGATATGGCATGTGATCGGCAGGGTGAGAGCCAGGGTAACATTCTGCACGTTCTGTGCCATCGTGCTCCGAACTCGCAGACCAGCGCTGTTCGCTAACACTCCACACACGGCCATGCAAACACAATGAGTGTACGGATCGCCGGAGCAGCCAACCTTCGCTTACAATAAGAAACGCGTTTTAGCAAAGCCGCCTTCTCTGGGGGTTTTGGCGCCGCACACAGCACGCCGCTGTGATTGTAAATACACCGACATGACATCAGGGACAACAGGATTCTAATGGAACATTGCGTTAACCCCTTAAGGACGCAGCTTCGAAAACTGGACTAACCCTTAAGGACACAAGCATTTTTTGCTGTTTGTGTTCAACCTCCGTTTGCATTTTTCTTATCGATTGCACCAACACATGTTATATATCGTTTTTTTAAGGACAAAAAGGGCTTTAATCTGATGTTGATGTGACATACACATATATAAATTCTTATTTATTATAAAAAAATGCAAAAAAAAAAAAATATTTCGCAGTTTAGGCAATAATGTGTGAAAGCTTAAGGAAAGTAATTAAAAAAAAATTATTTGTTCTGATTTTCAGAGTACATAATATGTCTAGGATTTCAGCTTATTTTAAAAGTTACAGGTCACAAAACACAAGGAGTAAGTAAAATTTTAATGTGGAGCGATTTTAGAATTTGGCATGTTTGTCTTGTAAGCTTAATGGCCATCACAGAAAGCAAAATTGACGCACAAAAGTATATATTTATATAAAGCATACATCACGCTATTTACCCATTTAACCAGCTGCATGCCGATCTCACTTTGAGCTCTGCATGCAGCTCAGCTGTCTGTCTGGTGCCAGTAAAAATGGCCCCAGCTGACAGAGGGGACCCCCAGGTTTCTAATGATACCTAGGTTTCCTAGTGTGAGCAGGGATTTAACCCTGCTCACACTGTATTGTGCTCTATGGGGATGTAGCATGTAGCTCATCAAAAAGGCTGAGGTCACTAAAAATGTCCCCCGCTAATAGAGGGGAGCCCCAGGTTTACATTGATACCTGGAACTCCCTTGTGTGAGCAGGGATTTAACCCTGATCACACCAAATTGTAATAGTGGGGATTTAAATGCTTGTTTGCAGCGCTCACTTTGAGCTCTGCAAATAGAGCATCAGTTAGTCTGGGGCCACTAATTCTGGCCTCAGGTGAGAGAGGGGAGCACCAGGAATCAAATGATACCTGGGGCTCATAGGTACCAGCAAGGTAATAGGCCCTGCTGGAAAAATACTGCATGATGGAAATTTTCCATCATGCATCCTTAAAGGTAGGACCAGCATGACGGAAAATTTCTGTCATGCGTCCTTAAGGGGTTAAAAAAACAATAACACAAAACCTGGGATTTGCACTATATGTGGTTCAACCATAATTCATATTAAATGTACCCACACTTCTATATCATTTTGTTCATGAGAAAAAGGGCTTTTATTTCATATCAACTATTTATATATGAAACATAACTTAATATAAAAAATCTAAAAAAGTATGAGAAATTAAGAAATCTTGTTATCTTTCAAGTTCTACATGGCATTTTAACTGTGAATGTCATAATACTGTTGGATTTTACTCAAATATAATGCACATATTTGTATTCAGAAATGTCTCCCAAGTACAACAGTGCACCCAATGTACAGGTTTTATGTGTTTTTGCAAACTTACAGGGATCAAATGTAGGGCTTTCCCCTTTTCCATGTTTGCACATTGAAATTTGCCAGATTGGTTTACTGGGCCTATGTTCCTATTGAGACCATAAGGCAGCCCAGGAATGAAAATTAACCCCACCATGGCATACCATTTGAAAAAGTAGACAACCCATGTTATTCAAAATGGGGTATGTCCAGTCTTTTTTAGTAGCCACTTAGTCACAAACCCTGGCCAAAATTTGCGTTTTTATTAGTTTTTTGCATCTTTTTTTTTACACAAAAACTGTACTTTTACTGGTGATCTCATCGTCATGATGTTTTACTGTTTTGAAAAACTCATATTTGTGTTCAGCAAAGTCTCCCGAGTATAACAATACTCCCCATATACAGGTTTTATGGTGTTTTGGAAAGTTACAGGGTCAATATAGGGCTTGCCCATTTCAGTTTGCCAGATTGGTTTGCTGTGTTTATATTGCCTTTTGAGACCATACGGTAGCCCAGGAATGTGAATTAACCCCATCATGGCATACTATTTGCAAATGAAGACAACCCAGGGTATTCAAAATGGGGTATTTCCAGTCTTTTGTAGTAGCCACAAATGCTGGCCAAGGTTAGCATTGATGTTTGTTTTTTTGCATTTTTTTTTTTTAAAACAAAAACTGCACTCTTACTAGTGATATCAGCGTTATGATAAGTTTTACTTTTTAAAACACTCATATTTGTGTTCAGCGAAGTCTCCCGAGTATAACAATACCCCCCATGTAAAGGTTTTATGGTGTTTTTAAAAGATACAGGGTTAAATATAGGACTTGCCAATTAAATTCTCTGGAATGTCTGCCTTGGTTGTCAGGCAGGTCCCTCAAATTTTAATTAATAAAATCAAGTAATTATGTAGTTAATAGTTAAATATATATGTAGAATGTACAATGTTTTTTTTTTTTTTTTAATATATATATATTTTAATATATATATATTACGTGTGTGTATATGTACACCCTGTTTCAAATTATTATGCAAATTATATTTTTCTCATTTACCTAAATAACAGTCAGCATAATTCTCATGTTATCAACTATTAAGAGTACAATTCAAATTTTATTGAACAAACTTTCTAATGATAACAGTATTTTTTTAAACATAAAAAGCTTACAATGCACTGTTCCAAATTATTACGCACAGTAAGTTTCAAAACATTTTATAGGTTGTAAAGAACTGAAAATTGTCATTTGTTGTGTTTGCAGCATATTTACTGAAATCAAAAGCTATTTCAATCAAACTTATAACAACATTCTTACTTTTTAAACATTTTAACAGGTATTTTAACATAGGACCCCTTTTTTTGATAGCAGCTTCACAAGTCTTGCATCCATTGAACTTTTGAGTTTTTGGACAAGTTCTGCTTGAATTTGTTTGCAAGATGTCAGAATAGCCTACCAGAGCTGCTGTTTGGATGTAAACTGCTTCCCCCGCCCTCATAGATCTTTTGCTTGAAGATGCTCCAAAGGTTCTCAATAGGATTGAGGTCAGGGGAGGATGAAGGCCACACCATGATTTTCTCTCCTTTTATCCCCGTAGCAGCCATTGATGCAGAGGTATTCTTTGCAGCATGAGATGGTGCATTGTCATGCATGAAGATGGTTTTATTACGGAAAGCATAGTTCTTCCTTCTGTACCAGGGAAGAAAGTGGTCAGTCAGAAACTCCACATACTTTGCAGAGGTCATCTTTACACCTTTGGGGACTCTAAAGGGGCCGACCAGCTCTCTTCCCATGATTCCGGCCCAAAACATGACTCCACCACCGCCTTGCTGACGTCTCAGCCTTGTTAGAACAGGGTGGCCGTCCACCAACCATCCACTACTCCATCCATCTGGACCATCCAGGGTTGCACGGCACTCATCAGTGAACAGGACTGTTTGAAAATTAGTCTTCATGTATTTTTCTGCCCAATGCAGCCGTTTCTGCTTGTGAGCATTGGTTAGTGGTGGCCGAATAGAAGGTTTATGCACAGTTGCAAGACTCTGGAGGACTTAAAATCTTAAAATCTGGAGATTGAAAGGCTCTTGCAAAATTGGGCAGCTGTTTTTATTCGGAGCCAGAGAACATAGAAAAACACCAATCATTGCTGCAACTTTTTGGCCACAGCCTTAACCAGACAGATTTAATTGCCCTCCGAATTTGTTCTCTTGAAATTTGCTTGTAGAGAATTTGCATGTTCTCCTTATTCGGCAGAGCAACGGGGAGTCAAACATGAATGCTAAGGCTGTTGGGCTGTTTAAGCCCATTTCCTCAGCGCACGCTTGACTATGACATTTTGCTGGAGCAAGAGAACCATAGAGGAAAGTGTTATCTTGATCCCCTTGTCACTCACTCCTTGACATTAAACACTGTGCCACCAGCAAACAGGTTTAAAGCCTAGAATTGACAACTGAGGAGGTATGGCAATATTTTTAAAGAGCTTTAAATTAAACTCTATGCATTTACTAGAATTTCTGCTAGCAAAATGTTCAGATGGAATTTAGTGCCCTTTAAAATAATGCTAACATGACACAAACACTTTTGTCTTCATTGCCCTTTCTACAATTCTTAACTTGTCTAAGGATGACAATTGCCTACTTTTTGTAATAAAATAATAAATGCATGCACTCCCTCTGAGGATTTTCTAGGACTTTGTTTAGTTAAACTAGACGTCTGTCTAAAATGTATTAGATGTTCTGCACAGACACAAATTCTCGTCATGAATTCTAAACAGCAGTCTTTAGTCAATAGTGAATATTTTAACTTTGTTCACCTAGTGCTCTATAAACAGTCATTTTTATATTAGACACACTTATGTTCATTGAATTATGCTAAAAACACTGAGATATGTTTGTTAAACAAAACAATCTATGTTAATTTACATATCCCATAGCAATATTCACATGGAAACAAAATCTTTTTTATCTTTACTGTTTTCCTTGTATTTTCTTGACCAAGAGTAGATCCTTTATGATAAACTGATAATTTAATTAGGGTTGGCTTATGCAGTTACTTGTACAACAGACTAAGCAATATCTCTAAATAATTTAACTAAATATAATACTTTTTACTCCAGTCCTTAAAGTGATTAGGTTGCATGTTGCTAATGTTATGGACTTGCCAAAAGGGATAGGATTCATATGAATAAAGTGTGGCTATAGACCACTATACTGTCAAAGTGGAGGCATCTTTTGATTCCAGGGGTTTTCATCGTGATTGCTCCAATTTAGGATTTTATCCAAAAGTGTTTTGCATTATTCGATCTACAATTCGTTTACGTTTTGGGCAGTCAACAGGTTGTCTAAACTCCATATCAATAGACGAGTCGCTTCATTTCATTTATCATTCAAAGTTCCGCCTATGGCACCAAAAAAAAATAAAATTGATTGATTAGTGAACAGTCATTAAATGTTGATTTTATGCTCAGATTAAGTGATAAGTGATCAATCGAGAAAAAGAAAAAGGAGCATAATTAAATGGACACTTTAGGTACCATCATGATGACCATAACTTAATGTAGCGGTTTTGGTAT